TCCCTCTCACAATCTCCCATCCCTTATAAAGACACTCAGTCAAGCCCAAAGAGGGAGAAGAAGAGCGGAGAGACGGAGAGTTGGAAGGGGATAGGACTCCCCTGGCATTGCCCTGGGATGAGGGTGGAGACCCAGGAGCCAGGGGCTGGGAACAGCACTGACCTGCCTGCGGGGGCTGGAGCTCCCCAGAAGGTAATTCCTGGACACCAGGCTGTCCCCCAGGCCGATGCCAGAGTCGCCCATGCTGCGGTAGCTGCGCGTGACGGTCACGCTGGAGGTGGACGAGCCCGAGGACATGGTGTTGATGCCGGCGTTCTGGGTGCCCGATTTGTCRGCCGGCTGGCCACACGTGCCACAGACCACCGTGCGGGAGCGCAGGTTGTACTCACCGGGGTCCCCAGAGCCACTGCAGCTGCCCTGGATATGGGGAGAGGAGGGAACACACAAAATGAGCTCCTGCCTGGCCATCCTTGCCCTGAGCCTCTGCCCTGTGGGTGACAGCAGYGGTGTGACCCAGGAGAGCTCTTCACCTTAATCCACCAAGAGGGTCTGACTCACCTGTCCTCTCCATAAAAATAATAAAATAAAATCCTTATTATTGTATTTCTAATCCCAAGTGACTGGGGCCAGCACATGGCCACTGGGTGACCTGCCCTGCTGCCCTGGCCTTGCACCCTGAGCTCTCGGCACGTGGGAGACACCCGAACTGTGCTCTCCAAAGCGACCTCTTCCTCACCACCTCGTGAGCTGGCAGCTTTCCCATGGGAAATTTGCTCTTGGAAAGAATTCAACCTCCAGATGAATGGGCAGCACTGGCTGCAGGAGCTTGGCTCCTCTGTCCAGAGGTAGTCAATATAGAAGAGAATCACAAAATCGTGGAATGGACCTTTAAAGCTCATCTCCTTCCAGATTCCTGCCATGGGCAGGACATCTTTCATCTTTCATCTTTCAGGTTGCTCCAAGCTGTGTCCAACCTGGCCTTGAACATTTCCAGGGATGGGGCATTCTCATCTTCTCTGGGCACCTGTGCCAGGGCCTCACCTCACTCACACAGAACAATTTCCTTCCAATGCCCCATCTAACTCTATTAATGGGAAGCCACACTCCCTTGTCCTGTCACTGCAGACCCTTGTCCCAAGTCCCTCACCATCTCTCTCACAGCCCCTTTAGGCTCTGGAAGAAGCTCTAAGGTCTCCCTAAAACCTGTTCTCCAGACTCCAGCCCCCAGATTTCCCAGTCTGCCTCCAGAGCAGAGAGGCTCCAGCCCTCAGAGCATCATCATAGCTAATTCTGGGCTTGCTCCTTGTTCTTCTTGTGTTGGGGGCCTGAAAACTGGACCCTGCACTGCAGGTGGGTCTCACAAAGGACACCGTAGAGGGGACAATCCACAGCTCTACAGATGCAAAGAACTCCAAGGTGAGTGGATGAGGGATGCCCCATTTTGCTCCTGCAGAGCTCTGCAAGTGGCATCCATCTTTCACCATTGCTGAGGCACCACTCTGACGTGATTCCTGAGGGCATGTGGTGTGCAGGACACACAGATCCTGCAGGACGGGCTGCTGGGACATCCTGGGCTGCAGCCAGGGATGGTTTTTTTGGGAGAAGAGGCTGCAGCTCTGCTCCTGGCACGCTGCCTGCTCTCTGCCCACTGCCTGCTCCCTGCCTGCTGCTCCTCCTGGTGCATATTTCAGCTCTGTATGGGGAATGATGGGCTGAGAGGAAGGACAAAGCCACCTCTGGATTTGTTCCAGCGCCCTTGTGAAGCAGAGAGGACAGAGCAGCTGCTGACGAGAAGTATCGTCCATCAACTTCCCACCATCCTATCCTCTGGGTACCAACCTCCCTCCTGCTCCTCTGGCCCTTTTCATGGCGTGTCAGGGCTGCTTAGGGTCAGAGACAATTCCAGCAAGGTTTTCAGAGCTTTTTTTTGTGAGCAGCAATCTCCTCCAGATGCCAGAGGTCTGCTGGTTCCACTGCAGCCTTCCCACTGCCTTTTCCCATATGCCTGACCCCCTGTGATGCTGAGCTCTTCCCACCCTGACCAGGACAGAATCTGCCCCACTCCTGGACCTTTTGGGACCATCCCCAGTGCCCCACTCACGTGGTGATGGCGGTGGTGGATGCTCATTTCATCSTCATCCTCATCCTCATCATCRTTGATGATCACAGTGCGGACCAGTTTCCTCATGGCCACCTCCTGCAGGGAACAGGGGGTCATTTGAGGGGTTCAGTGCCTGCCACCCACCCTGTGCCCCACGCTGGAGCTGGCCCAGCTCTCACCTCGCCGTTGGAGTTGATGAGGGCGGTGCGCAGGCTGTCCCCGGAGCCCCAGCTGCTCTGGGCTTTCCACACCAGGTTGCTGGGGGGGCTGTGGGTGGCTCCAGCTCCTGAGGCCCAGATCTAGGGACAAAAGCAGGAGAAAAGTTGACTTTTTAGGTCTGCAGAGCCTGGGGATGGGGGTCTGTCACCACAAAAAGCCACACACCAACGACTCCATGTCGCCAGTGGCCTGGCAGGGTGTGGGATTTTGCCTTTGGGATTTTGGGATCCTCCAGCAGGCAGTGACTCACCGTGACCACCTGGCCAGCCTTCAGGGTGAATTTTGGGGGGAAGCGGTAGGTGATGGGGGGATCATCCCCATTTTGCCGCTTGATCTGCCAGTTCCCCATCGCCTGGTCCTGTGAGACAGAGCAGAGACTCTYACAACTCCAGCTCCTCTCCAACTTGTCCCATTCACCTCCTGCCCTTAGGGTGAAGCAGAGCTAAACTTCACCCCAGGGACTCTACAGATTCCCCTGAAGGGATGGATCCAACCCACCTCGTTGGATTTGTTCCTGAGACGGACGAACTTTCCCTCCAGRTCCACCTCCTCCACGCCAACACGGCCGCTGGTCCGGGCGTGGTGTGAGAAGCTGGTCCTGCTCTCRCTGTCCTCCAGCTTCCTCTTCTTGGAGGAGCCCGGGGTGGACAAGCGGCTCCGGGATGTACCTTTGTGGGATGAAGGGCTGGGGGACAGCCTCAGCCTGGTGGAGGGAAGAGGAGATGGAGTCAATAAGGACACAAAGCTGGGATCCACATGGCACAGAGCTGGGCACAGCACCCTGTTCTCACCGCTCCTCCTCGCCCTCCAACAGCTTGCGGTAGGCGTTGATCTCCATGTCCAGGGCCAGTTTGATGTCCAGCAGCTCCTGGTACTCGTCCAGCTGCTGCTGCATGCGTGCCCTCATCTCAGCCATCTCCCTCTCCTTGTCAGACAGCAGGCGCCGGTTGGTCTCGCGTTCCCTGGCCAGAATATCCTCCAGATCGTGCAGTTTGGCTTCCTTGGCAGCCAGCTGTGGGGAGGGAAGGTGAGGGTGGCCACTCCACCAGGAGGGGACTGTCCCCAAGGCAGACACCCAAWAACCCTTTGTTCTCAACTCACCTGCTTCTGCAGCTGGCTGACCTCYGAGGAGAGGTTGTCAATGCGGATCCGGGTCTGCTGCAGCTCCTCATGGGCAGCACCCACCATGTTGCTGTTCCTCTCAGCTGACTGCTTGGCGTTCTCCAGCTGGGGARCAGAGCAGGAGGGTCAGCACCTCAGCACCCACAGCTCACCCGTGGGGCTGGGGGGATGRCAACGTGGCCTGGGGAGCTGCTCACCTTCGCCCCGTAGGTTTTCTCCAGTTCCTCCTTGTAGAGCCTGATCTGGGCTTCGTGCTGGCTCCTCAGCTCCTGCAGGGCCTCGGAGAGTTTGCTCTCGAACTCCCGCTGCCTCCCGTTGTCGATCTCCACCAGCCGGGTCTCGTGGCGCCGCTTGGTCTCCCGCAGCTCCTGGGGACGGGGCAGGGGACACGGTGTCACCTCTGCGAGGGGGTGACACACGCAGTGGGGGTCAGCACATCACAGCAAATCATGGCACAGCACAGCTCACCTCGCTGTAAATGTTCTTCTGGAATTCAAGCTCTTCCTTCAGCGTCTGCAGCCGGTTCTCGGCGTCCACGCGGCGCAGCATCTCATCCTGCAGCTGCTTCTTGGCTTCGTTCAAGGCACTTTCCAGCTGGGAGGGAATTGGGAAGGACCATCACAGGGGGCTCTGGGACTGACCACCCATCTGCATCAACCCCACAGCCTCACAGCCCCCCAGGGGTACCAAGAGATCCCTGTGTCACTTGGGGACAGAGCTGCTCACCTTGGCCACCTGTCCCCTCAGGTCCCGCACTTCAGTCTCCAGATTCCTCTTCTCACCCAGGGCTGTGGAGAGAGCAGCCTCCTTGGAGTTAAGCAGAGCCTCCACATCTTTAAGGCGTGCCTGGGCGGTCAGCAGGTCCCCTTCTTTCTTGGCATTCCTGCAGGACAAAGGGTGGCACAGGTGAGTGGCAGAGCAGGAAGGATCGCAGTCATCAGGAAATGATGGATTGGGTTCAAAGGGACCTTAAAACTCATCCAGKTCCACCCCCTGCCATGGGCAGGGACACCTTCCACTATCCCAGATTGTTCCAAGCCCYRTCCAACCTGGCCTTGGACACTTCTGTGCAAACTGTGCCAGGGCCTCTCCACCCTCACAGGGAAGAATTTCTTCCCAAWATCCCATCTMACCCTGCCCTCTGGAAGCCATTCWTCMTTGTCCTGTCACTYCAGACCCTTGTCCAAAGTYCCTCTTGAAATTCYGGAGCCCCTTTARGTACTGGAAGGGGCTCTAAGGTCATGTCAAGCTTTTCATCCATCCCAACAACACTCACAAGTTCTCCTTCTCAGGGCTGCTCTCCGAAAAATTTGTGCACTGTACCCCAAGCACAAGAGTGGGGTGATCGTCCCCAAAAGAGCTGGACCACTGTCCCTAACAACCCTAATAATCCCAACAACCCTAACAACCTTAACAACCCTAACAATCCCAACAACCCTAACAACCCTAACAACCCCAACAACCCTAACAATTCCTAACAACCCTAACCACCCTAACAACCCTAACAACCACCCACCAACGCCTCCCAGCCACCCGCCACACCCAGTCCCAGTCTGGATACTGGAAAGCAGGAAAGGACCGGGAAGGACTGGGCTGGGAATGACTGGGGGAGCAGGACGAGCCTGGGAGCAGCAGCCACGTGCAATATGCACACCCACAGCGTGGCTGCACTGCAGGAGAGCAGTGCTGAGCAGGCTGAGGCCGTGTGGCACCGTGTGGCATGGAGGGACACTGTGGAGCGCGATGGGACACCGTGGAGGATGAGGGGACACGGTGGGGACACGGTGGAGCACGGGGGGACACTCTGGAGCACGATGGGACACTGTGGAACATGGAGGGACACTGTGGAGCACAGGGGTGACACTGTGGAGCACAAGGGGACACTGTGGGGACAGTGGGGAGCACGATTTGACACCATGGAACATGGGGGAACTCTGTGGAACATGGGGGGACACTGTGGAGTATGGGGGAACACTGTGGAGCACGGGGTGACACTCTGGAGCACGATGGGACACTGTGGAACATGGGGGGACACTGTGGAG